CCGGCCCGCGCCCCTGGCTGGAGACTTCGGGGGGCAGCACCAGCCCGGGGGGACCCTCGGCCCAGCCCTGGGCAGGGGAAACTGAGGCACGGAGAGGGGTGAAGTGGGTTGCCGAGAGACTCTAGCCGCTCTAGCCACTAGACCTGCCTGCTTCCCTGGGCCTGGGGCACAAATCCTGGAGCCCCAACTCCCCTCCCCCCAGCAGGGGCAGAACCCAGAAGTCCGGGTGTCTGGCCCCCTACTCCTCCCACGGGGCCCCCCCAGACCCCGCTGCTCTCCCGGGCCTGGAAAAGGAACCCAGGAGTCCTGCCCCCCCACGCTAACCACTACACCCTGCTACTTCCATTGCTCTGCTGAAGAGAACTGGCCTCACATAGGGGGCAGTGACATGGGGGGGACAACGACCCCCACTTCCTTCCCTCCCCTGGGGTCTCCACGCACGCACGCACGCACACACACACGCACGCACACGCACACACACGGGCTTCCATGCCTCAGTTTCCCCCGCGTGAGTTGGGGTCAGCATGGCAAAGAGGGAGAACAGAAAGAAAGGGACAAGGAGAGGGTAGAGACCCCCCCCACCCCAACCACCCCCTCCTGGGCACAGATGCCCCCCAGGAGCTGGCTCTGGCCCCTCTTCCCCACAGTCCTCCAGGGCCCAGGCTGGGCCCCCTCCAGGCGGGGGGCAGGTGTGTGCGTGGGGCACTGCTTGGGTGCAGCTCACAGCGCCTGCGTCTTCAGCTCCAGGGGCTCCCCGGGTGGCTCCGGGGGCGAGTCGGCCTCCGCGGGTTTCTCGCCCTTGAGGATGGCCAGGCGCTCGGCCATGCCCCGCGGGCGCGGGAACAGGACGAAGTCGTAGAGCAGGCCGCCCACAGCGCCGCCAATCACTGGGCCCACCCAGTACACCTGCGGGCAGGAGAGTGGTCAGAGCCATGGGTGAGGGCGGGCAAGAAAAGCACCAGGGTGATCGATTCCAAGTGAGCGCTACAGGGCCCAGGACACGTGGGAGAGTGGAGGCTTGTCCACAGTCCCTTTCTGCTGTGGAAACGCAGCTGGCTCCGCGGTGCGACAGGGCAAGGATCGCACCCCCCAGCTCTGAAATGCAGCTGGCTCTGGGGTGCAATGGGGCAGGGATAGCTCCCCCCCAGTTGTGAAATGCAGCTGGTTCTGGGGTGCAACAGGACCCCCAGTCCCCCCACTCCCCGGACAGCAGAGCGCCCCCTGCTGCCCCCACTTACCCAGTGGTTGGTGAAGTTGCGAGTAAGGATGGCAGGCGCGAAGGAGCGCGCAGGGTTCATGCCGGCGCCTGTGTAGTACATCTGTGGGGGACAGCTGCTGTGAGACAGGACTCCCAGGACCTCCGGCATAGAGACCCAACCTAGATTGTCCCCGGGACCCCTCCCCTGGCTCCAGAGAGCTGGCTGAGGGGCAGGGGGTCACTCTACCCCGCCATCCATGGTCCTGGCTTGGGTGGGGGACCCTCTGGGTGGGTGCAGGGATGGTTGGGCAGTTGGGGGAGGGGTTATGCAAATGAGAGGGTGTGATCAATGCATATGCAAATAAAGCCAGGGGGCTTTGCATAAAGGCACCAAACCATGGGGATGGGGGGGCACAGTGCCTCAGCATGCGTGTGCATGTGTGCGTGTGCACGTGCACGTGTGTAGATGCAAGCCTTACCCCAAAAAGGTGGCCTAGGGTGAGTGAGAGCCCCACAGCCAGGGCCACGGAGCCCACGCGCCCATTGCGCCGCTCGTCGTAGGTAGCAAAGATGCAGAGCACAAACTGCACCGTCAGGAAGAGCTCCACCGTTGTGGCCTGGCCCAGGCTCAGGCTCGGGTGTATCTGTTGGGGGGGG